TGGAAACAGCCCAAATGCCCATCAACTGGAGACTGGATCAAGAAAATGTGTTTTTTTAATAAAATGGAGTACTACTCAGCCATCAAAAATGAGAAATAAAAAAATTAAAAAAAACAAAAGCCGGGGATTTAGCTCAGTGGTTTCACCGCCTACTGTGCAAGCTCAAGGACCCGAGTTCGATCCCTGGTACCAAAAAACAACAACAACAACAACAAAATGAGAAATCAGAGACATTTACTGCTAAATGGATGCACATTGAGGCGATACTCTTAAGTGAAATAAACAGGACACATGTGTAAATACCGAATAGTTTCCCTAGTGTGAGAAACTGAAAGTGTAAATAAGGACTAAAAGATATAATAATGTGAAATAGGAAGAAAAGGGGCAAAGGGGATGGGGAAGTGGGAGGGGTAGGGGAAAGGAAAGAAGGGAATGGAATATGAGAAAATGAAAAATGGAAACAAGGTCTTTGTAAATAGGGAGGGATGGAGGGGTTGAAGGGAGGGCAGAGGAAGGGGGAAAAAATAAGAACCAAGAGAGTAAGTAAAGGTGCATATCTCCTATGATGAATGTCATTATATTGTACATCTAAAATGTACCAATAAAAGGATATACAAAAAAATTTAAAAGGCACCAGTTGTTGATTCTTTGTAGTATCTCCCATGTGATCAGGATTTGGTTGATGAAGTCTTTGGTACATAAAGTGCCTTCCAACGCCAATGTCTTTGAGAGTTCTACCTACCTATCTTCCAGCCGGTTTAGTGTTTCTGTTTTAATATTTAGGTCTTTGATCCATTTTGATTTTAGTTTAGTGCATGGTGAGAGACATGAGTCTAGTTTTAGTCTTCAGCATGTGGAAAGCCAGTTTTTCCAGCACCATTTATTAAACAGGTTTTCTTCCAATGAATGTGTTTGGCCCCTTTGTCAAAGGTGGCTGAGGGTGTTTGGAGTTGTCTCTGCATCTTTCTAATCTGCTGCACTGATGCTCGGGTCTGTTTGTTTTTACTGTTGTTTGTGTTTTGTTTTGTTTTGCCAATACCATGCTGTTTTTATCACTGTAGCTCTGTAGTATAATTTCAAGTCAAGGATTATGATGCCTCCTACCTCACCTTTGTTGTCCAGAATTGTTTTTGCTATTCTAGGTCTCTTCTGGTTCCAAATGAATTTTAGGAATGTTTTCTCTAGTTCTGTGATGTATGCTACTGGTATTTTGATTGGGATTGCATTAAATCTGTATAATAATTTTGGGAATATGGCCATTTTCACTATGTTGGTCCTTTCTACCCAAGAGAAAGGAATATCTTTCCATTTTCTGATATCCTCTTCAATCTCCTTTTTCAGAGTACTGTAATTTTCAATGTAAAGATCTTTTACTTCCTTTGTCAGATTGAGTCCTAAGTATTTCATTTTTTTCAATGCTACTGTGAAAGGTGTTTCCCTAATTTCTCTCTCAGTGAGTTTATTATTTGTTTATAGGAATGATGCTGATTTTTGAGTTGACTTTGTATCCAGCTACACCACTGAATTTGGTTATTAAATCTAGAAGTCTTTTGGTGGAGTTTCTGAGGTCTTCTATGTACACTATCGTGTCATCTGCAAATAATGATAATTTAACATCTTCCCTTCCTATCTTTATTCCTTTTCCCTCTCTTGTCTAATTTCTCTGGCTAATATCCAAGAACTATATTGAATAGGAGTGGTGATAGTGGGCATCCTTGTCTTGTTCCTGATTTTAGAGGGAAAGCTTTCAATTTTGACCATTTAGTATGATGTTGGCTCTTGCTTTGCCATAGATGGCTTTTATCAGACTGAGGTAGAGACCATCTATTCCAATTTTCTGTAGAGTTTTTATCATGAATGGGTGTTGGACTTTGTTAAATGCTTTTTCTGTGTCTATTGGGATGATCATGTGATAAAGACATCGGTGTGGGCAAAGACTTCATGAACCAAACTCTGACTGCAAGTACTACAAAGAATCAACAACTGGGATCTCAGCTTATTAAAAAGCTTTTGTATAGCAAAAGAAATCACCAAGAGTGAAAAGACAGCCCACAGAGTGGGAAAAATTTTTAGCCAGTTGTTCCTAAAACAAAGGACTAATGCATTGAACATATAAAGAATTGAAAAAAATCAGACCTCCTAAATTTAAAGACCTGATCCAAAAATGGACATGTAAGATGAATTCACACTTCTCAGATGAAGAAGTACAAACAGCAAATATATAAAAAAAATGTTCACCATCACTCGTCATTTGAGAGATGCAAATTAAAACAATGCTGAGATCCATCTCACTCCAAAAAGAATGGCTATTATCAAGAAATCAACTAACAACAAATGCTGGTAGGGCTGTGGGGGAAAACAGACCCTTCTCCACTGTTGGTGGGAGTGTAGACTGATGGAACCACTGTGGAAATCAGTGTGCAGATTCCTCAAAACACTAGGATTAGAGGTCCCATTTGACCCAGTTATTCCCCTTCTGGGTATGTTCCGAAAAGAATTAAAAGCATCATACCACAGCCATATATGTGCACCCATGTTTACAGCAGCACAGTTTGTAATAGCTAAATCTTGGAAACAACCCAAATGCCCACCAACTGATGAACAGACCAAAAAGATAGATAAAAAAGATGTGTTTTTTTAGTACAATGAAGTACTACTACTCAGCCATAAAGAAGGATAAACTTGAGACATTTCTAAGTAAATGGATGCACCTTGAGATCATACTGTTAAGTGAAATAAATTAGACACACATGTGTAAATACTACATTGTCTCTCTGGTGTGAGAAACTAAAAGTAAGTATCAAAATGTATAATAGATATTGTGAAATAAGAAGGAACTGTTCAAAAGGAAAGGGGAACTAGGGAAAGGGTAGGGGTAAGGAAGGAAGGGAAAAGAAAAAACAATGAGAAAATAAGGATAAAATGGAAATAACACTTTGTAAATAAGAAGAGGAAGAGGGATTGAAGAGAGGGGAGGGGAATGAGGAAAAAAAGGAATCAAGATATATCATGTACAGTACAAATTCTCTACGATGAATGTGATCATTATGTATATCTATATTGTACCAATAAACTTAATTTTTAAAACTTAACACTGATCATACACAAAAAAAATAAATAAAAGGCACCAAAAAGAAATCAGTTCATTTAAATTTATTATGCTAGGGATCAGAAGATAAAGCTATAAAATGAAATTCTTAGACATGTAATCTACAGTTAGTATTAAAGATAATAGTTTTTGTGATTTCAGTATGTGTGTCGTTTCTGTTATTTCTTTTTATATAATGTTAATATGTTCTAAAAAGGAGCGTATTTAGACATCCACACCCCACACTATACAAAGCTCTACTTATAAAACAAGCTTTACAAGGCTCTATTTTATTAAAAGACCAAGTGGATATGGTGGCACATGCTTGTAATCTCAACACTCAGACAGCTAAGGCAGGAGGATTTGTGAGTTCACGTCCTGCCTGGGCTGCATAGCAATACCTTGTCTCAAAAAGAAAAAAAAAAGCCAGACATGGCTAATGCCTACTATATTAGACAGCACAAGCATAGGTTTTTCCAAATACTTTTATTTTCTAGGACTAGAGAACTGAAACCAGAGCCTCACACATGCTATGAAAGTGCTTTACCACTGAACTACAATCTTAGCCCCCTTCCAAAACTTTTAGCACTGTAAGTAACAGATGCACTTGGTTTACAAACATTTGTAGAAGAAAAAGTTATTCAAATAAACACTCAGAAGCCCAATTATTAAGACACAGATAAAAGTAGAGTCACAACAGCTAAAGCAGGGATGGGGGCTGCAGGGGTCTCTACCAGAAACCAGTCTTCTACAGAACACATAAGGTTCTGCGGAAACTTCTAAGCACCCTACCACTAAGAAAACTATGTTGTTAAGTGAAAAACCATTACCAATATAAATGTTCAGTTTTCTGTACTGTTGAAGGTTCTGTGTTTTAAAACTCTTCTACCATTTTTTTTCCCATTAAGTTTATGGGCACATTTTAGGTATAAAATACAGTTACATTCATCATTGGGATCTTGTACCATTACAGGGGTATCTTGGTTCTTTTTTTTTTTTTCCCCTTCCCCTGTCCTCCCTTCACCCCCTCCACCCTTCTCTATTTGGAAAGACTTTGTTTCCATTTTTTCCCTTTTCTCATATTTTTTCTTTTCCCTTCATTCTTTTCCCCTACCCATCCCACTTCCCCTGCTCCTTTAGACCTTTTCTTCCTGTTATACTACATCAATTATACATTTTTTAAATTACAATATCAAGATCTAGGAGACATTACCACAGATTTCACAGAATTTAAAAGGATATAGAAAGCATATTTCAAAAATCTTTTTTGAAATAAATTGGACAACTTCTAAGAAGTACCTTGGAAGACAAATTAATG